TTCACTACTTTGGCCATTGTAAAATGAATATATTTTGTAAAAGTGTGTTGGCCAACCCTGTTTTAAAGGACCGACAAATAAGATATACGTATTTCTTTATAATGGTTCATTTTCATATTTAGAGACTGAAACGACCCCATAAAGTTTCAGCTGCAATAGGCTATCTCCGAAACTATCATGGATAGAAGAAAACTTTTTCTCAAAAAAGTTTTCTCAAAAAGTTTTCTATCATGGTTTTCTATCTGCATGTAAAATCTAGCCCTAAATTTTGTAAAAAATAATTTATAATAATAGCCTATTGCGGCTGAAACTTCAAGGTGTCATTTCATCCCCTAATTATGAAAACTGGCCACTATAAAAAAAAAAATACGTATATCATATTTTTCGGTGCTTTGAAACATATCCAAAAATCAAAACAATCCGGCGGACACCTAAAAAGGTTTCTTTGTTAGAAGGGGAAAGGCGAGCAGCTGATAACCAGCCAATTCCCTTCACCTCCGAGTAATAGCTTCTCGAGAGGATTAAAAGTTTAGCGTTGTATCCAACTCTGCCGTCGTCGGAGGTCTCTTGAGACACCTCGTATGTAACGTAGCTGTATTTGCATTCGAAGCAGTAAAGATCTGAGTGTTTAGAAAGAAGTATAATCGTGTAATTAACTATAGACGAAAATACGTGCAAGTAATTATTTTTATGTGAGTCGAACGATCGAATGATAGCCAAAATCAATAGCTTCGATTTATTCATTCAAACGCGGCGAAATTGGCGCACGAGCGAACCAATTTCAACCGCGTTTCGCCTAGGAGAATCCCATGAACGAAGCGTAAATATCGTTTTATTCTTATGAATGATTTTTATTATAATTTTTAATCGTAATTTTTAATTATAACTTTTAATTATAATTTTTCGTAACTGTCGTCGACGGTGCGGAGGTCGAGGAGAAGTCTTCGTTTAAAGTTTGTTATCCGAGATTTTGTTTTGAACATTTTAATTGTCAAACGAGCTTTGTTCGTAAATTTCAAATGGTTGGAAGATGCATCTTGAAAATGTACTTTGCGTACAGTGGGTGTAGAAAGTATTCGTACGCCGATCAATTTCAAAAAAAAGCTATGTAAAATTGTAATTTGTTAGCATATTTTTGATAAACAATGACATTCTACGTATTTCACGGTAATCTCTAGAATAGATAGAGTAAAAAAGAAATAGCTATTTATGTAAGTTGCGAAATTAACAAGAAAAAAACAATTAATCGATAGAAATATTGAACAAGTATTTGCAACAAGTATTCGCACTTTTTTTGTTAATTTTACAAATTATATTAATTAGTAAATGTTGTTTGGACTATATCTATCTTAGAGATTTCCGAGAGTACGTAAAATATCATTGATTATAAAAAAAGAAGTTAAGAAACAACAATTTCACACAAAATTTTGTTTGTAAATTGATCGATGTACGAATACATTGTAAACGGTAAACAGATTGCACCGATCACTTCTCGTTGATTTCCTAACGAATTCGACTAGTAGCTCAAACATGATATTTACTTACGATATTTTAGCTTCGATGGTGGCAACAGAACGTCCATCGTCAAATAGCTTACCTCAGATTTGAAACGTGTTTCATTTCATGGATTTGTATTATTGAATAGCGATAATTTTGTTGTTTAATAAATTTTGAGTGCCTAACGTCCGGCTATCTTTATAATTCCACATTCAGTTGTTATCAGTTACAGTAATTATCGAGTTTTGTATATTATTCGAGTCTGTAAATTATCGTTCTCTTATTAAGCAACAATTCCTGCGAATTCTGTTTCTCCAGACGTACGATTTATTTTACTTTCAATAATGTTTTAATTTTTTATGTTATTGTTACATAGGATGATTGTCATTAGGTTTTATTTTACTCGAGCGATTAAGAAGAATTTTGCATTCGAATCTCACGAACGAAGCGTAAATATCGTTTTATCCTTAATGATAATTTTTATTATAATTTTTAATTATAATTTTCCTTAACTGTCGTCGACGCTGTGGAGGTCGAGGAGAAGTCGTTGTTAAAGTTTGTTATCCGAGATTTGTTTTAAACATCTTAATTGTCAAACGTGAGTTACGTAAATTATTCGAGTTTGTAAATTATCGTTCTTTTATTAAAAAACAAGTCCTGCGATTTAGTGCTATCTGTATCGATTCATTATGATACTCCGAACACAATTTAATCGAATTCTGTTTCTCCAGACGTGTGAATTATTTTAC